TAACTAGACAAAATATGCACAACACATCAAATTGTTTGTGCTTAACACCTCATCTAGCATACATAAACTAGACAAAATATACACAACACAACCACTTAATTAACACTTTGGGTGGTCATTGACTGATGCTTGAGTTGATGGTCCTTGGATAATTGTGGCCTCTGTGTGACTTGTTGCTCTGTATATTGCCTCACCATGTTCACATTATCATAGTCCAAACCCTTCAGGTATTGTATTGTGAATAGTCCTTCCTCTGCCTCTGCATTCTGCCTCTGCTTCCTCCCCTCCCCAAAGTTGAAACTTGTGACTGGGTTGCATCTGAAACCCCTTGTGTACTATTGTTTCCACCACATCTTCTCTCTAATAACACTGATGTTGGCGTAGGAATATTTTGTCTTCTCATTTCCTCCACTGATTGACCAATCATGTTCTTGCTCCCCTTTGGTCTCCCTCTCTTTTTGGTTTGGCTTGTACCTTCATTTGCTACTTGTGTTGTCTGACAGTGCACCAAAAATATAAAGTAAGTCATAATTGATTACGTAATGGAAATATAAAGCAAGTCATAAGATAAACTTGTATGTTTTCTGTGCTAGTTGTTTGAGCAGGTGGGGGTGGATTTGGACATTTCCTCCTTGTATCGTCAGTTGACCCACATAGCCCACACTTCTTAGGTATTCCCTGCCTTGAAGCCTTATATGTTTCCCTTGTTTCTTCATTGGGGTCCCTTCTTCTTGCAGTCTTAGGCCTCCCCATTTTCCTCCTTGCAATATTAGGTGGCAGTACCATCCCCTCTCCCTCTTTATCACAAAATCTGCTACCTTCAACTGGATTCAACAAGTTGGCATAAGTGGCTACATAGTTCTCAGATTTATACCAATGTGCAATATAATCTTCAGGCTTATGTCTCATTAACATGATAGCACTTATAGCATGAGCACAAGGAATCCCTGTCAACTCCCATTCTCTACATGAACATGTTCTATTACCCAAATGAACCTCATGACTGACCCCTCTATGAATGACTTCAAAGGCACTTTCATCTCCAGAACCATTCCAATGTGGAACACAATTTATTTGCTCATTATAAGCATCTTTTAACTTTTTCTGAATTCTAGGAGAAATCCCATCCACAAACCTGTTAACCAGTTTTCTTTTTTCTTGCATTCTATCCATTAAAGCCAATCTAATATCCTCTAACATAGATATTATTGGTTTATATCTAGCAAGAAGTATGAATGAGTTGAATGTCTCCGACATGTTGTTATCAACACTGTCACTTTTACTATGGAGTTTAAAGTGAGACTTACAAAATGTATTGGGATCCCTTGACATAAAGTCATCCAATGCTTTTTCAGACAATTTACTCAAGTTTGCTGCTTCAACTAATAAATCTGTCTTTGTTGTGGCTTTCACACACTTCCAAAACTGCCGTTGAAGTTGCCTACCACCATGAATTTTCCTCTAGTTAGAGTAAATATGCCTAGCACATTGCCTATGCTCTATTGAAGACCAGATTTTATGAATAGCTGGAACTATTCCCTACAAAAACAACAATATATCAGAACAATACACTGTCATAAAAAACAGAATAAAAAAATAAATCAGTCAACCACCAAATAGCTGGAACTAGTATCTACAGACATACCTTTTGTTGATCTAAAATAACAGTCCAACCTTCACCATCTCCCATCCTCAAATCAGTGGTCAAAAACCTTATAAACCACTCCCATGATGACATGTTCTCTCCCTCAACCACAGCCCATTTTATTGGCCACATTTGGTTGTTACCATCTCTACCAACAGCACACAGTAATTGACCACCACAAGCATGCTTTAGAAAGCATCCATCAAGGCCAAAAATAGGTCTACAACACTTGACAAATCTCTCCCTCAAAGCAGAAAAACACACATAGATTCTTTAAAATGTGCATGGGCCTGATCCTCCACCCACCACTTTAAGCACACATGTACTCCCCTCATTTGATCTACAGATTTCATTCACATAGGGTTTAAGCAACCAATATTGTTTTGCCATCAGTTCCTCTATAGCACTCGATGCCTTATCCTTTGCCCTCTGATATTTTCTAAGAGTGACATTGATCTTATAATTTGCAGTTATTTCTTCACAGATTTTCCTTGGTTTCATCTAGGGATTTCTTAAAATTTTATCTAGGAACTCATGTGCCACCAAATTTTCTGTAATTAACCTATTCTAAAGGTTCTACTGAAAGTGTGCAATGGTTGAATGCTTTTAATTTGCCAATCTTGTTCATCTTCACAGTCAGGCCCACCATTTATTTCCCAGTAGCACATTGAACAGCCAACATTTATTCTCTTTTTATCATTTTTCATATAAAGCAAGTCATAATGATTTTGAATAGAGTAGTTTAGAATAGCTTGTTTTAATACCTTCCTTGATGTAAACTTCAATCCAGGTGCAAAGTACATTGAACTCATATCCACGTCCTCCTTGAAGAATGGATACTTAATCTTCTTCCTCATCCTGAGTTTTCTTAACCTGAGATGAGGCTGGAGCTTGTGCTTGAATTCTTCTATTTCACTTTCATCTAACGGGCTTCACCCTCACTATCTCTTTGCTCTGACTCATACCGTCCCTCATAATTCAACCAGAAAGATGGCCATTTATCTCTGTACTTGTGTTGTCTGAAACACCCCCTTCCTCTACTGTGTTTGAAGTTGCATTATCTTGAACTTCCTCGGTGTTACCCCCTTGTGCATTCATGTCAGTAGCTCTATCATTGTGTACTGCATTACCTTGAACTTCCTCTGTGTTACCCCCTTGTGCATTCATGTCAGTAGCTCTATCATTGTGTACTACATTACTTTCAACTTCCTCTGTGTTAAGTGGCTGAAACACCCCCACTCTAGCAGGAGGTCTCTCATCATCATCTGACAATCTAGCACCAGCATTGAATGCTATTCTACCAATTATAGCACTTACCTTATCCTTATTCATCCTTCTAATTTCATGCAACTCCTCAACATCACTGCCCAAAGCCCCCTCAACCTCACTATCAAAAGCACACATTGAATCTTCACTTGCATATGTAGCCGCATTGCTACTCCCCTCATTCAAACCCTTTTGAAGCCGCATTGCTACTCCCCTCATTCAAACCCTTTTGTTTAACTTTCCCACTCTCTACTTTGTCAGTGAACTCGTCAACATACCCTTTCTCATCATCCTCATCTATCTCATTATCAAATGCCTCTGTAGGGTCTAGCTTATATGTCTCATCTTCCACTGAGTCATCATCATCACTGGATTAAATTTTATCCTCCACTTGGCCTTCATCCGTACTTTTTTCCCTAATTGGTGTCAGCTTCTTTCTTTTTTTGGGTATCTCTTGCATTGGTTGCTCTTGATTGGTTGCTCTTGCAATGTTTCATTCTCTTGCATTGGATCTATTTCATCTTGTGCATTGGTTGTTTCCACATCATTCTCATCTGCCACCAACTCAGCCATGTCAACCAACTCAGCCATGTCAACCCCATGATTTGAAAATATTTCAACTGCTCTTTCCTTACGAGCATATTGTAACATAAGTTCCAAATTGTCTTCCAAAGTAAGAGGCAACAGACCTTGGCTCAAACCCCTGCTTGGAATACAATACCACAATGTGAACAAATTCGTGTAGCCAAATTCTACAATTTTTTCTTTGAGATATTCAATAGGCATCGCATCCTCGTTTATGAACCTAACATCACATATACCATTGCAGTAATCATGATTATTAAAATTAAAATAGCCACAATGTCGGAATTTAACCATAATTAATACTCCAATCTGCATAAATTTAAAATTAACTTAATTAGAAACAATATAATTTCAAAAAAATATGAACAATTTAAAAAAAATTGGGTTTCACTTCAAAACCCTAAATTAGGGGCAAGTAAACACGGAGCGTATGCATGCAATCAACTAAAGATAATGAAGACTATTTTGTTTATAAAAATGAAGACCCACCACCCTCCATCGCCATAAAAAAAGGGAGGAAAAATTTACAATGTCTTACCTTTGCCTCCACGACTTGAAGACTGCAGCAAAGGAGAAGACCCACCACCCTCACATCCACGATCTCTCCCTTAGAGAGATTCTCCGCAACTGCCAATTTGGGGGAGAACTCTCTCCTGGGCAGAAAGTTTGATTCTTGGGGGAGGCAAGGGGGTGGGGGGAGGAGGGAAGGGGGAATCTGGCAATTAGGGTTGATTTGGAGATTTAGGGTTTTTTGTTGGGTTATTTCCCAATCTGACAATTAGGGTTGATTTGGGGATTTAGGGGTTTTTTGTTCGGTTATTTCCCGCCTTTTCTTTAGTAAACTGCCAAATCATCATCCATGTCACCCCTTTAAATGCCACGTGAGCCACGAGATTTTGAGTTTTAACCGCCGGCGAATAGAACGTGCCTTGTTGACAAAAAGGTCCATCTTTAATGTATTGTTATCGCAGGAGTTTTTTTTAAATACCAAATTGGCAAATGCGTTCGTATAAATATACCAATTTGGTATTTTAGCCGAACATAAAGTAGTTCAAAGTTGCTCTATTCAGCATAATACATTCTAACAGTGTATACGACATGCAGTCAGAGTGCGAATGCAGAATGATGTGAATATCCAGACTGTATTTGTCATCAGATAAAGTATGTACATAGATGTTTAATATTTTATATTTGGATAAGTCGAATAGTTGAAAATTGTATCTATTTTCCCTCAGTAAATAAATTCAATTTTAAACTAGTGATTGGGAGAAAGGATCAAGCAGAATGGAAAACTTTATCATCACAAATTAGATGCAGTATAGCCTTGTTAGCCAATAATTATTCATCTCCATGATTCTAAAACCAGAGCTTATATAACTTATTTATTTTCGTTAGTAAATAAGAGAGAATTTATGCAGAATAAAACCAAAGGGAAACAAAAGGAGAGACCCTCAGGGAATCGCTACTTACTCTGCTGAAACATCTCCAGCAAAGAGGTAACTCAGGAACCAGACCCAGCTTTCAAATCTTTAGTCTTCTCAGAAAGCTTAACAGCTTATATATACATAGTTTTACATAAAATTAGATTAGGGTAGACAACATACATGCGCATATTGTTCCTGGTAATTCTTTCCCGTAAACTATTAATTACAGTTTTGATTGTCAGATAACAGACTTAACCATATTCTGCCACCTGGAGCACCCGGGACGATTGGAGTAAGTCTTATGGCTACTGACATTATCCATCATTAAGTCAAGTAATTTGTTCTTCTACTTGAGATGCGATCTTTACTGCATCCCTCCACCACCCACAATCTTCATCCATGTCATACTCCTGCAATTTGTATTTTTACCAGAATAGTACATCACTTGAATCAAAATTCTAAAGGTGCATATGAAGATCAAAGCCTTTATATGAAAGAAAAAGGATAGAAAAGAGGGAAAATGAAAAAGGAAGTAAAGGTAAAAAGATGAAGAGATCATAGTCAAGCGGATTGACAGCAAGAGTTCTGTGCATCGTCAATTTCATGTAGCATTATCTAGGTGTCGCATTAGGTTACTTTCCTAAAGTAATAAGCATGTACCGGTACTATCCGATTTTTCCCCTCCAGAATTTGTACTTTTGCGTGATAGCTGCTTCGATTGGTACCAACCACAACAAGGGAATCTGTAGAGTCAGTTGCATCAGAATTCAAAATGGAAGTGGTTGTATTGACCTCATATGACATCAACAGTCAGTAGTACATGACTAATTTTTTATCTGTAAAAGTAAAGGGAAGGTGCTAATAATAGGGAATGGAACCAGATAGGTTTAGAATGTTAAATGAGGCAAAGAGGTGCTGTAGCAGCAATAGAAAGATTTAGCTAGGGTATAGTGGGGATAAGAGAGGTGGCAATAAAAGGAAAGGACATCAGGATCGTGGTTTTCTTTTCGCACCATATACAAGCACTCCAAATGAAACATCTTCACAGAATTATTAGATTTTCAGTTTGTTAACTAAAAAACACGTCATCGATGATGTGTGTGCATGTATATATATGTATATCAGACAGTAAAAACAAAACTAGAATTCTCAATCCTAACTAAACTAAAATAAAATGATGCAAGCTAAAAGTCACTAAATAAAACAAATTGGACCCTACCAAGATGAGGATATCTTTTAGTGAGATGAAGGTGCTGTTCTTTATTAGCTAGTATGTGACAGAGGAACCTCATATGATATTCATCCATGTGACATTTATATATTCTACTTGTGATCTGCTTGCATTTCTTAGCTGATTTTTTCTCAAGTTAGAATTTGCAGTTTTATTGATGAAAGTTTTGGCTTAAATTGATCAAGACAGTGTTTAAAACAAATGTCTTAGGACCCCCATGTTCAGACCAAAATGACATGCATTAAGAAAAAAACCTTTTAGGAAAAACTTGCTTCAGCAGACATCATTAACTTCTACACCGATGTTAGGCGCAGATGATAAGGAAAGATGGCACTATTACTTGTGCCATATGAGAAATAACGTGTGTTGTTTTTCAGAAGTTTCCTTATGAAGCATTTAGAAACTATAGTCATTTTGCTAAACATCATTTCCTTACTGTTACATTATGAGTACCTTGATGAAGGGAACTGTACTGAGATAACCCTGACAAAGTCCTTTAACTGAGAAAAGAACTGAAAGCTTCAATTCTACTAGATAATATAGACCTTCCTTTATCTATTCATTACCCCAATGTAGGGTTTTCATTTAATCTCCAGTGTAATAATGTTTTCCCTCCAATACAGAGTCCCACAGACTCACATCTGACTAAGATAAAGGAATTTCTTTACTTTCAAAGTTTAACTGTAAATCTCCAGGCTCATCTTTCAACCTTATGCTTCCTACTTGTGCTGGGTCATTAAGCATGTATGCTTAAGGATGTTAAAGATTGATATCCTAAAACTCAGTGCGCTTTGAGAAACTATATATACTTTATCACGCATGCATATCGTAGTTAAGCAGGTACTTGTACGTCCTTCTTTCTGCATGATTTGTACCCTCGTCTTATTACCGCACTCAGAGCTTGGGCTCTTCATGCCTGATCTACTAATATCCTTTGGCATCATCACGATAACAATGCTACTCATTTTGAGTCATTGAAAACCACACTATCTTGTCTGTTGCCATACACTATAGCTATCAAATCATAGTTCACAGGAACAAGCTCATGCTACTGCTGCACTTGTAAAATTCATACATGCCCTCTGAAAAAAAGGAAACCTCAAGATCAAGTCAACAGTTTCTGAGGAGCTTTTAAACTGATCTATCAGGCTGTGAATCCCAGTCTACACTCAACAACACTTCATAACTAATCCAGTTAATATGTGCTGCTCACCTCAATGAACAGAGATTAACCAATTACGAACAAGAGCTGCACCGGTAGGAATAAATAGACACATACTAATTTAGCTTAAGGACCGTAAATTCGGTGTCATAATTAATAAATAGCTGGAACTAAATAGGAGCTTAGAATCTGACAACTGTTCCAATCATGAATGGTGAAATAAATGAAAAAGAGAACATTGGTACAGCAAAGGTCTCATATCCATACAGAAGGCCAATCTAAGACAAATAGATAGACAAAGAAAGATAAATAGAAATGAAAGGCGAAACTTTTTAAGATCAATAAAATAGAATAATCTAAATGATCATTTACGAAATATAAAAAATGAGTACTCACCAATTTGCTGAACTGAGGTGCATTTCCTAAACTTTCAACGTGGTCAGCATATCTGATTGCTTCATGCCACCAACTGCTATCTTTCTTGCAGCTGTTCATAATCCACTCTCCATCACGTGAATGATATTCCAGGTTAACTATACTAGGTTGAAGATCTAAATTTGTATTTAAAACCTCCATGTTGTGTTCTGCCCGTGATGAATCATATGTTGCTGAACTATTGGGAATTACATCCCATGGTAATGGTCGCAAGGGGGAACGATAACCTAATGCAAATATTTAGTTCAGCAAATTTAAAGGAACAATAAACAAATTGGTACTTTCATTTTTCTCTAAATTTGCAGAAGATTAAATGAGATAAAAATTCACTAACCTTTACAATCAGGATCATGACACTTCTGGTAGTAGCCGGCCCTTTGAAAATCAATAACATAAATAACTGCACAAGCAAACAAGGTTATGCTAGTAGAAATATAATGTACAAAAGAAAAAAAAAGATAAATTATAAGAGGGAAGGAAGAATGGAAAAAGGTAGAACAAAATTAGGAATTAGAATATCTTATTGAATTGTTATACTACTGATATTGTACTGCTATATGATCATGCGGGAAGGTAGTAACATTGTCTGGTCATGGACTGCATATGTACTGCCATTCTCGCTGGTACAAAGAGAGACATTTATCTTGATGCTAGTTTATGTGAGAATTTAAATGAATCATGGGAAGATTTTGTTTTAGGGTCAGATAGTGCTCAGCACTTTGACGATATGTCACTAAAAAATTCTTAATAATGCATTCAAACATTCAAATCATTATACTGTTAATGAGTATAATATTTGTCACCACAGTTTTCTATTAACCCTATTAGCACTAGGAAACTACTCATCCAAACAGAATTTGTGCATTCCATACTGGAATGTAAGTTCCAGTTCAAGGACTGCACCCATATGTAAGTAGATATATTTCTGCAGGTCAATTCAATTCAAGAAAATCATGACATGATAAGAATTGGTAACCAGGTTATGTTTTTTTTAAAGAAACCTTCATCACCATAGAAAAGGAAAGGTTGGTAATAGTCTCAATGAAAAGAAAAACAACAATATCCAAAATTTTAAAAATGCCATGCCTGAACATCTCATGCTATCATGGGCGGCGATTTGTACCTTAGCACTTAGCGAATTGCTACGCGCTAAAGACATCTATGCAAGTGCCTGAGCCATGCGAGAAGAAAAGCATCCCCCCCAACCCCAAACAAAAAAAAAAAAAAAACCAACCAAAATTTTTTGAATTTTGAGGGGACTTTAGACCCTATTCATGTGCTATCAATCTTAATTATACTCCATTGGGGTACAAACTGGAAAAAGCATGCCAACAAGATGTGGATGCAGAAGATCAAACAAGTTCTCAACAAGCTGAGATAAAGTACAGAATCTCAGTGCCTTACAAATCAACATCGGAAGTGATGTCATGTCACCAAACATATTCTGGAGAGAAGTTAACTTTACAGATTAGGAAAACAAAACCCATAAAAACAACTTAGCCACCAGCCTTCTCTTTTTGAAATTGATGAGATACAACAAACTATAAGGAGAAATACCTAACTCCTAACTTTTAGATCGATTGCATAACATGCAAAAACTAAAACCTCAGAAAAGATTTAGCTTATTACATCAAAAAAATAAAAGTAAGAATCATTAACCAATTGTGTGATTCATATGCTCCACAGGAAAAGAACAAAGTCCGTAGTGGTAGTGATGTGATTTCATAGTAATTTAAAAAATGTCGTAGATTGTCAGAGTTAGATTGGATCCTTCAAACAGGTATTCTACAGATCAGAAATCCCTGAATAAAGAGAGGAGATATTTTGACCAAAGAAATGAGATAGTTAATATATTGAGTACATATGTATTGACAAAATAACATATCAAATCATTCAATATCATCAGATCTAGGATGTCATATTATCCCAATTTTGTTTGCAGTAAAGACAGGTACAATCAAATCTCTTTGCTGAATGAAAAATGAATTGCGGAATTATACTACTTATCCTATAACCAGAACAATTGTTGGTCTACATATCAATACCTTGCAATTTTTTGTAGAATCTTTTTGTTATATAGTTACTAGTGTTTGGCTTTCTGATGAAACTACAAACCTACAGTTTAGGTATGGCAAATTCTTTGGGCCCATGTTAGTTGGATTGCAATGACATGCTTTCTTATGGACTGAAAGGATTCAAGGAGTATGTAGACCCCACTAATGTTTTCTTATTTGTAAGAGAATGAGGAGTGAAGCTGGTTGCAGAGGACAACAAACCTCACCCTTCTGGTGGTATAAATAAGAGAACTATTTTTAGAATTAACTTTTAAAGCAACTTATATCAGGTTTTGATTCAGGCAAAACTCCTGAAATAAGCAATGAATTTGATTATCATTCTTAAAATTTAAAATTAAACAGCCAAAATAGAAATAACCCCTTTACATTTTTTGTATATTGGTGTTAATATAGATATTCATAATCAAAGAAACAAGAAAATGAAGACTTACAATTCATAACATGAATAACTTCAACAATTTAGCAAGATCATAATAATACCAGGTCTAAAGTCAAGAAACATTAGCATTTTTGGATGATTAAAGAAAATAGTCCATACCGTGATTACTTTTATGTTCTCTTCCTATCCGCTCACAATATCTATTTCTTGACATACTATAAATCATCAAACCATATGCCGAAAACCAGTACCAACACCGGATCTTTCCTGGAATTGAACTAAACTGTCAATATGCTAGAAAATAAAATTAGCTCAAAAAGGTAATTACAAAAATGTAAATTACAGCGGCTAAAAATATTGATTGCAAGCTTAACTGGACCTAGGGAAGTAAAAACAATTTACAAGAATAGCTAAATTTGTCAGAGAAAAGGAAGGCAAATTGCATGGAGCGTATTCAACAATCGTTTTAAGCGGGCTTTAAATACTTTCATTTTGGTTCATGCAGGCATTTACCCAAAAGAAAGTTAGATGTAGTGTGTTAGAATTAAGTATTGGGTTATCGGGTTAAGACCCAATAACCTATTACCCATTTGTACTCCTATATATATGTATCCATGAGGAGAGACCCTAATATGATTCTAATTTACCATTTCAACATGGTATCAGAGCCGTCACTCTCCAAACCCTAAAAAAATCAAAAAAAAAACTTACTGTAGCCCGAACCCTAGCCGTCGTCGTCAATCGTCTGAGCGAAGAAGGCTTTGCATCTTCGCGCCTGCCTGTTCGTCTTCTACGCTCAGCCGTCTCTCAGCCGCCGCCGCTGTCGTTTGCCGCTCATTCACTGTTCGTTGTCTGGTCGTTCCGTCGACAAGTCGGTATGTATCGTGTCGTCGTCTGGAGAATCGGATCTGCCCTTAGCCGTCAGTCGTGTCGTTGGCGTGCTCTCAAGTCGGTGTCGGGGTCAGTCGATCTGTCTTCGGCCCGGCGGGGGTAGTTGGGTCTCGGTCAATCCACGCCGCGCGGCGTTAGCTTATGACCGGCGTCGGCCGTCGTTGTCAAGTTCAATTCGTCTCATCGGAGGTCGTCGTGCCTCTCTCAAGCTGCTGTGTTCGCCAGCACAGATCTGCTTTGAATTTTTTTGTTTCTTGTTTATGTTGGCCCTTTGTTTGATCTGTGTTTTTTATTTCGGGCCCTTGTTTTCTGAAGTGAGAGGAGTAGAGTAGTTGTACTGTTGTTTGGATGAGGCATGGAAGCTTGTACAGAAATTAAAAAACAAAAAAAAAACAAAACAAAACCATATATAATATATTTAATATATATATATATATATATATATAACAAAAAAAAACTGAGTTGAGATCTTAACCTTCGAGTTCTATGATGACCTTCGGGTTCCTACTCTAACCTTTCGAGGTTCCTATTCTAACCTTTCGGGTTTTCTATTCTAACCTTCGGGTTCTATTCAAACCTTCGGGTTTTATACAAGAATATTGTGATCCTCCTGCTACTGTACTGTCATGTTCTGTAACAATGGCAGGATCTGACATCTCTTCTGCTGCTACTACTACCCCTACTACTGCTGAGATCTCTGTCCCCAAAGTTGTATTGGGGACCACGGTGAAATTAAATAGCACCAACTATCTACTTTGGGCACAAACCTTCCACATCTTCATTAGTGCTCTGAATAAATTAGCGCATCTTCATTGGTGCTCAGAATGAATGAAAAAAATGCATCCCGTGTGTTCGAGTTGTATGAACGCCTTTTCTCTCTTCAACAGGGCGATCGCTCTGTACCTGAATACTTTGGTGAGCTAAAAAGTTTAATCGATGAATTAGAGATGCATCAGCCCGTTGTTACGGATGCACCAACTCTGTTGGGATATCGTCGGGACCTTGCGGTCTCCAAGTTCTTGTCAGGACTGAGTCCCACTTTGCAGTCTCAGATACGGGGCTAAATACTCGGGGGTAATAATATCCCTTCCTTGACTGCTACATTCTCCAGAGTTATTCAGGTAACTACTGGAGTGACTACTACATCTCCCACACCGACCGCTCCATCACTTGACCAGTTTGCTAATTCTCCGGACATGGCAAAGGTCGTGGTCGTGGTCGAGGACATGGCCGCGACACAGCGGGAGGACATGACACCTTTGGGAGACAGGTTGATTCAGATAAGACTATGCGTCCGTGCAGACATTGTGGGAGGACTAATCATATCTCTGAGAAGTATTGGGAGAAGTTTGGTCGCCCTGCATGGGCACAAATTGCTGATGTTACACCTACCTCTGTTGATTCTCCGACTACTTTTGCTCCCTCCACTGTTCAAATTTCGCAAGCTGAGTATGACCAGTTGCGTCAACTCGAGTCCTCTCAGAATAGTCATTCTGCTACTCATGCATCCTCTTCAGGTATGGATACCTACATTGCCTCTCCTCACAAGCCATGTGTATTAGATTATGGTACCTCTTCTCATATGATAGGTATAAAGGATCATTTTGTTTCTTTTAAAACTGTCTGACAAGTTTCCATCGGTCCGCATTGCTGATGGTACATACTCACCAGTTCTTGATGATGGAGTAGTCCATGCTACTTCATCACTAACCCTTACTAAGGTCTTATATCTTCCAAAATTTCCTGTCAGTTCATTATCCATCAGTCAGTTCACCAAACACAACTGTAAAGTAACATTCTTTCCTTCTTATTGTGTTTTTCAGGACCTAACAACTGGGATGACGATTGGTTCGGGGCATGAGCCAGGAGGTATGTACTATTTGGACGATAATATGCCCGTTACTGATCTTATTGCAGAAAAATCTGATCATCCTTTACTATGGCATCAACGTCTTGGTAATCCCTCATTATTGAAGCTTAGATCTGTCATTTCTATCCCATCATCTGTTTCTTCTTTAGATTGTGAGTCTTGTGAACTGGGTAAGCACCATCGTGCTACCTATCCGAGTCGTATTGATAAACGCAGTAGTTCTGCATTTGAGTTAGCCCATTCTGATGTTTGGGGTCCTTATCGTTTACCTTCAGTGAAAGATTACAGATATTTTATTGTCTTTATTGATGACTTCTCTCGCATGACTTGGCTTTATCTATTAAAAGAGAGATCTGAGGTTTCGACTGTTTTTGAAATCTTTTATAAAGAAATCAAAAACCAATTTTTCACCTCTATTCGTATCCTTCGTACCGATAATACGTTGGAATACATGAAAAATGACATCTCTTGTTTTTGTGCAAATAGTGGTATTATCCATCAAACTTCATGTTCTCACACTTCACAACAAAATAGGGTTGCTGAAAGGAAGCATAGACACATTTTAGATGTTGCTAGAACCCTAATGATACATATACATGTTCCAAAGTATTTGTGGTCTAATGCTGTTCTCAGTGCATGTTTCATGATCAATAGGAGGCCCTATCCTGTTCTTAATAGTACAATACCATTCACCTGCCTTTATCCTGACAAAAAATCTTTTCATGTGGTTCCTCATGTTTTTTACTGTACTTGTTTTGTTCAGGATTTGTCTCCAAGTCTGGATAAAATATCTCATCGATCTATTAAGTGTGTTTTTGTAGGCTACTCGCGTACTCAAAAATGTTATCGGTGTTATCACTCATCCACCAGGAGATATTTTGTGTCAGCAGATATAACTTTTTTTGTCTGTTCCATACTTCTCCTCGACTGGTTCATCTCCACCTGTCAATCCATCTGTGCCTACTCCATCTATTACTCCTACTACCGTTCCATTACCCGCTTTCATTCCTTCTGCTAATGGATCTTCTCCAGGACTACAAAATGCCTCCACTGTACTATCTGCACCACCGCCACTACTGACGTATTGTCGCCGTCCAAAAGTTCTTGTCACTCTCTCTGCTCCAACCGAACAGTCATCTCCCGTTAAAGGTCTGTCTCCTTTTAATATTTCTAATTCCTCTGATCTGGACATTCCAATTGCTCATCGGAAAGGTAAACGATCTTGTACTAATCATCCTATATCTGATTTTGTTTCTTATCATCGTCTTACTCCTTCTCATCAGTTTGCTTTGTCCTTGTCCTCTATATCTCTACCCAGGTCCTATGAGGAGGCCGTGTTAGTTCCTGTTTGGAAACATGCCATGGATAAGAAGATGGATGCACTTGTTTCTAGAAGGACTTGGGATCTTGTATCTTTTCCGACGGGTGCTACTGTGGTTGGCTGTCGGTGGGTTTACACCTTGAAGTATCGTACAAATGGTTCGATTGATCGATATAAAGCTCGTCTTGTCGCTAAGGGTTATACTCAAACTTATGGGGTCGACTATCTTGAGACGTTCTCTCCCGTAGCCCGTCTCAATTCCATTCACCTACTTTTCTCTATGACCGTTAATCTGAACTGGACAATGTTTCAACTGGATGTTAAAAATACCTTCTTGTATGGTGACTTGCAGGAGGAAGTCTATATGGAGCAACCTCTAGGGTATGTTGCTTAGAGGGAGAATACTGTTTGCAAGCTTAAAAAGGCGATTTATGGTCTCAAACAAAGTCTACGGGCATGGTTTGAGAAATTTAGTACTGCTATATCTAGTGTCGGTTTCAAACGATGTCAGTCTAATTACTCCGTCTTTATCCGACGTACTACATCTGGTCTGGTGATTCTGACAGTATATGTTGATGACATCTTACTAACTGGGAGTGACCTTGCTGCCTTAGCAGAGATTAAAGAGTACCTTTCGCGTTACTTTGTGACCAAAGATATGGGAAAACCCAAATACTTTCTTGAGATTGAGATTGCATATCAAAAGGACCGTTTGCTTTTATCTCAAAGGAAATATGTATTGGATTTATTAGAAGAGATGGGCCTTTTGGGATGTAAGCCAGCAACCACTCCCATGGAGGTGAATATGGATTTGTGGCATGATAATAGTCCTCTCCTCGATAATATTTTAAATGTCAGATGCCGGGTTCATGTCGGTCGGCCAAAATTCATGTCGGATAGCGAAAATCGGAGATATATCAGGGGACATGAAAAAAATATCGGATTATCATATCGGATAGGTTGATATAATATCATAAATAGAATCTTCACATACTTGATAATTATATTGTCTAAACATATAAAAAAATACATAACTTATTGATGTTAGGATCACTAACCAATTGTAGACACCTGATTTTCGAGTCGGGTTTTTCAAACTTGACCCAATAAGCTTAAAACCTTTTTTTCTGAAATTTGGCCGATATTTCTTAGCCGCAATGGCGCCCGACATACCCGATATTTTCCTACATGTCCCCGACATGACCTCAGAAACGCAATACGTATTGAAATGAAGGATATCGTGACGGCTAGGGTATAAAACCGCCATATCCCCGACATGACCTCAGAAACGCAATACGTATTGAAATGAAGGATATCGTGACGGCTAGGGGCGCCATATCGGCCGCCATGTCCGACATGGCGACCGATATTTAAAACACTGCTCCTCGATAATGCAGACCGATATAGGAGATTGATTAGCAAGTTGATCTATCTTACTGTAACCAGACCTGATATTATCTTTGCAGTGGGAGTACTGAGCAAGTTTATGCATAAACCTAGAGAGGTTTACTGGACTGCGGCTCTGAGAATTTTAGGTTATGTTAAAAGCTGTCCGGGAAAAGGATTACTGTATAAGAAACATGGACATTTACACATCTCTTCTTATTCTGATGTTGGGTATGCGGGAGATATTGGAGATAGAAAGTCTACTTCTGGATTTTGCACCTTTATTAGAGGAAATCTGATTACCTGGAGGAGCAAGAAACAAGATGTAGTATCTCGATCTAGTGCAGAGGCAGAATACAGAGCTATGGCTCACACTGTTTGTGAGATGATATAGTTACAGAAGCTGCTGACCGAGCTTGGTTTTACTCAGCCTGGATCTATGCATTGTGATAATCAATCTGCTATCCATATTACAAAGAATCCAGTATTTCATGAGAGAACTAAGCACATTAAAGTTGATTGTAATTTTGTCAGAGATGCTTGGGAAAAGAAAGTGATCTCTCTTCAGTTCACTCCGTCTTCAGAATAGTTAGCTGACATTCTCACTAAAGCTATTTCACCTAAGATGTTTTCCATTCTGTGTAACAAACTGGACATGATTGATATATATGCTCCAGCTTGAGAGGGAGTGTTAGAATTAAATATTAGGTTATCGAGTTAAGACCCAATAACCTATTACCCATTTGTACTCCTATATATATGTATCCATGAGGAGAAACCCTACTATGATTCTGATTTACCATTTCAACATAGTGCTTTGAACATTATAAACATTAACCAAACTAAGAAGGATAATCTCATGAGTTTCAAGCAAATTGAAGCTAAAGCATACCCAACAATGCGCTTACATAACTCTGAACATACAGAAGTACCAAAGGCACGATTCATATATATCTTATCCTACCATCTAGCCAACACCTAACAAGTAACAACAGTTTCAATCAAATAAGGATAAAGGTCTACTGTTGTTGATGTTGTCGTTGTCGTTTGTTGTTTCGTGATAAAATCTCATGACGCATAGAACAAACAAAAAAAATTAAAGTCACTAATTTGTCTATGCGCCATGGACCAGTTGCACCCCATAGCTACAGTATACCTACCTCCTATGTTACCCACGTACTTCTATCATGAAGCTGTACCCATACTGAACACGTACACATACCCAAATTTCATGGACACTCCTCGGATATATGCATACATTTGTTCAAAAACGTAATCAATCATATGATATGTCTTAATTTAAAACACTTGTCATAAACTTTTTGGACATATCAGACACTTCACATAATTTCTTGAAACTCATTACTCGTTAGACGTGGGTCGAGTTTGGTTTAGCTCATACCCAAGTTCAAAAACTATGATTTAAAGGATCATCCGGGTGGCTAGTTCAAAAACGAGCAGTTTCCAATTTACAGTAATCAACATAATGAAAGAAACTTGAAAATGTGATAGGAATTTTAGTTCCATTAACATATGAATTGAAACACAATAATGATCTCATGTAAATTACTAACTTCAACATGTGTTTGTAATTGTATCCCTGTACCCTACATTTTGCAAATTTGCCATGTCCAGTACCCGCATCTGCATCCCTACGGGTACCCGTACCCGTTTCCATGCAACTTAGCCTACCTCCCTCTCCTTTTTGGACAGTTAAGTCATGTGTAGTCCAACCCCAACAATCCTCCGGTGATATTCATTTAAGTCTTACATGTCAAATGGGTTTTGTATAATCATAAGAAAGGCTACGCTGGTGTTTTGTGATACAATCTCTAAATGCCTAGAAGAATAGGCAAAGAAAAGAATTAGGTACTTATTTGTCTAGCACCATGGACCTGTTACACCCCATAGCCATATACCTGCCACAGTCCATAGCCATATACCTACCTCACCCCCTTTTTGAGATTTGCAAGCTATGTGCAATCCTCCCCATGCAATCTTGCAATGATTTTCATTCAAGTCATCAACATAAACCGGGTTTTCTTGGAGCATACCACCATAATGGGAAGGATGCATGAAATTTTGACAAAACTCTAAACCTAACTGGCTATCAAGGATGCATTATTGGAGCTGGTGCCATTATCTTATCAGAGTAAAAGGAACATTCTCATGTAATCTGTTATCTGGTCTAGCTCATCTTGAACTTCTGATTGGTTCTGGACATTCATTAGTATCTCATTTCTAACATTGTAGTGCATCGTCTAGCCCCTTCAGCGGCCACTAACACTCCAGGTGTTATCCTCTACAACACTCTGCACCAGCTGCCTTCTCCACCTAATAGAGTCTCAATCATCTACAGCTTTTCCTATCATCCCTATAACCTAAAACCAAAAATAAATAAATAAGTACAGTACCACCTGAAATATTTCCAGTAGAGGCAATAGATTCCACAAAAGTGTCCAAAGCTGGGAATGGAGATCTTCCAGAAAAGTATGAGCTTGGAACATCATTTCCAGAAGCACTTAATGGAATATCTCGCAGGGTGCCATTTATGTGTTCATGGACCTGATTCACAAAGAAAACTTTTGTTTCTTAATACCGTTACCAATAAAAAGTCACATAAAAAATTACAAATCAATGAAAGATCAATGTTCTTGACAGAGAATTTCAGAAAATCATTTAGAGTCAAAGAAACATGACAAATGAAAATTGATGCAGGCTGTGAGGCAGTTGCATCAGAAACTGATAACTATGAAGCTACATATTTTTCACCCTGCAGTATTTTCTGCAATGATTAAGGAGCTTCTGAAAGCCAACCATGTAAACTGATGTTGCTGGGTTTCAGTCAAAATAATGTAATTCTTCCAACAAAGCACATAAAGGTACAAATGGACCCTTGTAGCTGTTGTCAACAGGCACTCAAAAACCATTGAATTTTTTATCAAATGGCAGTCAGGGAAACTTGCAAAAGGCGCTGTTTACTATCTATCATGTTAAATCAGGTACATAAACATTTATATGCAGTAGAGCTGCACAACTTATGTGTTAATACCTTGCAACCATGAACATAGGACCTATGACCCCTTCATAACGCAGAAAAACAAGGGGGAAAATAGGTCTGTGAAGCAGACATTTATCTGAAGTTTGAAGCCAGTCTTATAGCAATGTTTCTTATGGTAGTAGACTCCAGTGGACACCAGTTGCCTACTTAACAGCTTAGAATTCAAGACGATGAGAAATAGCTAAGACCAATAGTTGTACTGGAATGAATAGAAGAATGAAATTTTAGGATGCATGATAATGGAAGAGATGACTAAGATGTAGGAATCATCAAGAGAAGAATGTATGTGTCTATTGCTTGTTTTCACAGTTTCTGGGCAGAGCAAAATGGCAATACTTTAATAGTATTTCCGGTCATTAGATCTCTTTTCCCTTCTCCATGGATAAGCACTTTTCACGCCGAGACATTCTTTAGATTATAAGAAGCCTCTTCTGCACATATTATCATGGACTGTTACCCATCACTTTGTGAAGAACAAATAAAGTGCATTGCATATTTACCAGTTGGATAGAAGATGATACGAACATGGGCTGTGATACAACTTGTTAGGAAGTTGGCTAAGGCCAAATCACAAGATGAGCAAAATAGATGCTTTGATGAATTGGCTTGAAACCCACAGGATCAGCAAAAACTCCTATTAAAGTAATGCGTCCAAACTAATTTAACCATATATAATGACTCCCTAATTGATCTGGGATTAATCCTATATTGTTCCTTGCAACCAAGATCATCGATTCATCCTCACTAGGCTATTTTTCCATATTACACATTGAACACTGCATGCATACATATGCAACTTGGATTTTACGTTTTGGCGGTCTTGTGATGGTGGATTTTGACTCTGGTCAACCTTCTCCGTCTTACCTATGATTTTACTACTTCTTTCCCTATCTCATAATTGTAAACTGCACCAGAGGTACATTTTTAGTAGTACTTACCTATGATTTCCCAGTTACACCTCTATTTGTATGTAAAACAAAATGGCCTCGGTTTGTGAGTATGTAAAAAGATGAAGATGGATACATCTTGGATCTGCAATTAAACATTAAGGCTCTCTTCTTTCTTTCTCCCTTTCACCTGATAATACACATGCTGTAGTTCTTATTTTGCTTCTTCAACCTACAGACATATACTTGATATCTGGTTTGTTAATACATCATGTTGTATTCATTAAGCACTTTCATACTTCAAGATCTTTGTATACGTGCACTTTCAGTATCTATGGACATACAACTTTTCATTCATTCACATGATGTTATAACTATTATTCTTCCCTTTTCTTCTTTTTTTTCTTTTGCTACCAGAGGACGTGCCATGAGCTTGACATGAAATGTTAGAAATGCTTATTATACATATGATATGATATGATATGAAGTGTGATGGCCACACTGAACTAATGTTTTACATTTAACATAATATGTCCGTTTACAAATTCAAAAAATTCAGGAAAAAAAAGAACTCCTTGCATATGAATGTTTAGAACTTCAAAGTACCAAACAGCTATGACTCTCACTCTAATTCAAAGATCAAATCTTGACTGGGTGGACTACATGTCCAACAATTCCAAACCATCTATCAGGTTTCCTTTTACCTATCTTAATAGGGAACTATCTGAACCTAAAAATACTGATAGAAACGTCAGCAAGGAGAAAAATGACTATCATATCAAATATCAGTAGGCAAAAAAGTATAGCATCTATGGAGTAAGCAATAACGTGGGCATCCTTATAAAAGCAATTTAGAAATGCACATAAAATAACACTCATAATTTATATAGTCAAGGGATCTGACATAAAATTTCGTGTTCTGAAATAAGTTTACCTCAGTCTCAAAGCAAAGGATTTTCTTGCAATCCAAATCCATTTTGCATGTTAACAGTTTGTCACAGTCCACATCAATTCTGCAAATAAGTGATTCCAAGAACACTTGTTGTTCATTCTGCAATCATTTGCAGCAAAACTAATAAATGATGCAGAAGAAATAAGAAAAAGATCAAAACTTTTCATAATTGTTAATTAATGTAATAGTTGAATGACTGAATGAGAGGAATATTATAAAAAAGACCCAAACTATTGAAGGTCTAGTACAGACACATGACGTACCATATTCTTACATCTAAAGCGTCCAGTTGGCTGAAGAAAAGCATTTTTCCCAGCCTTCGATGAGAGAGCTAGACGAAAACAGCGATTTCGTGTATAAACACCACTATCGAGGAAAAGGTGATCAGTGCAGTCAGATGTGCTTGAATCTTTTCTAATGTAAAGTTTCTCAAACTGAGGGTCACTTTCCCGTAAACTGGTGATGCGCGAACACACCTGATAAGCAGATATTTCTACAACAAGTTAGAATTATTTTGTAAAGCAAAATAATTAAAGAAAAAAGTACCTAACAATAGGTATCTAGCCATATCACTATGCAATTCAGGCTTTTTGAAGTCTATACCACACATAAACTCATTTAAGAAACATCCCTTCTATTAAGTTCCTATGAAGCAAGAGAGAAACCAAATCCTGAATTGGTAGGTTTTCCTTGCCTGACATACCTTTGAGCTGATCTTCATTAACAAGTTCAATCCAAAAAATTGCTTCCCTCTAAATAACTATTTTATTTTTAGGATTTAAAGCAGAATGATAACATGATAAGCCATAAGCATTTCTGGATTTATTGCAGCTGACTTTATTTATTTAAGTTTAAGATTGAAACAATATTTCATATAAAAAAACAACGCACATTACATCGGAAAATTCCATCTGTTAAATTTGGAGAGATGATAAAAATCGAAAATTTCCAATTTTCAGAAATGATAAAATAGGACACCTGTGTCTCTACCCCCAAGTCGCCGCCCCTACTTGCATGTGCATGCACCCACACACAGACACACATGGACACTGTTGGCCTTCTTGTTTTGATGATGTTTAACAAACAATTTATTACTAATGTTGTTTGTCTAGTGTTTGTGCATTCCTATGTTTTGTAGACAAACAACGTTGTTGGAGGATGGATGGAATAGAGCTTCAACGATCATATCCAAAGGAGGTTGGCGGAATGTCGGTGAAGCCTTGCTATTCAAAGTTAAAGATCAAGTTCAAGCTTCATCCGCAACGTGTACCAAGTTGAGCTACAATAAAAATCAAGATCAAGCTTGGGTAAATTAGTTTTAGGTTTTATATTATGTGTGTTAGTACTTTAAGCTCAATCATACACACACATACACGCTTTGGTTTTGGTTTTGTATATATACAGTTATATATATACATATATGTTTTTGGTTTAATAATTTTCGAGTTTATATATGAAACAAATGAATAATTGGAAAATACTATTTTGTTTCATGTTTATATGCCTATATATGATTTCACCTTTAACAAGCTTATATTTAATGAAATCATATTTAGTGTTTTGAATATATTGCATAGAATATGCAAATTTATGAAAATATTGTATTTCTAGATTATAGACTTCATAACAACATGTTATATCTTTTATCAAGTCTATACAATCATTTCATAAGGTTTCAAAATGGTGTTTAAGTCAAAATATCAAAATATCAATTTTCAGGTTTTCATGTTTTGGACTATTTTGCAAAATAATGATATTTTTCATTTGGGAAGTCCTTTTTCGAAACCAGACCGAGAGCTCAAATCGGTCGACCGACAGAATTTCCGGTCGACCGACGTTAGTCCAGAAAGTTTTCTTCGTGTTTTTGCTCTCATCGGTCGACCGACGGGATTTTCGGTCGACCGACAATATGACCGTTGGACTTCTAACGGCTATTTCTGAGCTGTTTCTCTGGGGGCTGTTTTGTCATTTGTTTTGGGGGTTTTTGCTGAGATTTCTAGTGGGTATATATACCCCATTGCTGATGTCTTTTAAAGTTATCCAAGAGAGTTTTAAAACAAGTTTAAGAAAGTTTTAACAAGGGTTTTAGTTTGATTTAAGTGTGTTTAAAAAGCTTTTAAGCAAATTGAGAGTTTGTTTTTGTGATTCAATTCTACAAGAGCTTGAGGAGATCATCTATTGGTGTTTGGGCATCCAACTCTTCTCCCTCCACTCTTGATATATTGAGAAGTTTTCTAAACTCTATTTCTAGCTTTTTTATATATTTGATTATCATTGTTATTAAGCTAGAACTACATTGAGTTTAGTTTTGATTTATATCTCTTTGTTCACACACAACCTTTTGAGCTTATTGTATTTACATTCATAGTATAATTTGGGGTTGTGGGTTTGTGACTAAGAGTTGTGCTTAATTGAGTTCTCACCTTGTTTTGAGAACAATCATTTGTCATATTTGTGCTTATTGTGAGAATCACTTTGTAATACACTTGTACACCGAGTGAGGAGTGTGTGGTGAGAGTCGGGGATCGTCCCAAGAGGAGTGGCGTCGGTTGACGTGCCTAGGGAGAGGTTGTAACCGAGCACTTGAGGGAGACACGGCTAGGTCCAACACTTAGTTGGTGTAGAGTGGGATTACAATAGTGTGTTGATTGTAAAGTTTTCGGTTAGCTAGAAAACCGAGTGTGAGGTGTAAACGTTGTTCGGGTGAACGTAGAAAACCCGGTTGATAGTGGATTTCTCCCCGGGAGTGGGGAGCGGAGACGTAGGATGGAAGGTCCGAACTCCGTGATCATATCTTGTGTTTGAATGTGCTTTGGCGTTTATTTATACTTGTGTTTATAATTCTTGTCGCCATTGTCATTAGCTCATTATTTATATGATCCACTATCTAGTTCATATTGTTTACCCTTGTGTTAGTTTATATATCCTTGCATATATATTTCATCATATAGGATATATCTTATTGTTTATATTGCTTATCCTAGCTTACAAATATTGTTGTATTTCATACTTGCTAGGATAACGTATTAATTAATTTTAATTGGCATTTAAATCGGATTAGATTAGCATAAGACCCTAATCACCCCCCCTCTAGGGTCTAACAGACACAACCTACTTGCTATACAACAACAACACACATTCAAAACCTACTTCTTATGTAACAACAACAACCCTTATCCCAAATGTTTGAGGTCGGCTACATAAATCTTATTCTTCCATTCCGCTCTATTCTAGACCATCTCTTCCATTAAGTTAACCACTATCGTAACCTTTTAACCATTATCATAACCTGCTTAATTGCTTCAAACCAAATTTTTTTATGTCTACTTCTAGATCTCTTAGCCCCATTAACTATAAATTATCACTTTTCCTAACTGGTGCACAAAGAGGTCTACATTGTACATGAGCAAATCACCTACATCAATTCTTTCTCATTTTATCCCCAATAAAAGCAATCTCAACATTTTGATTCGTAAAGCATTATTGGTCTTATAACCCCCATGTAGAACTTTCCCTTTAGTTTCATAGATATTCGGCAATCACACAAGACTCGAAACACTCCATTTTAATCATCCAGATTTTATTATACGAACAACATCATCGTAAATCTCACCATCATGAAGAATAATTTATCCTAATAACGAAAGTAATTACTTTTAGATATTTTCTAACCATCAATACGTCCTATAGGATTTTTTCCTCTTTTTAATTTTATTAAACATGCATTCTATGTATTCTCTTTTGTTCTACTTATTCTAAAACACGTAGTTTTTGGAGCTTGTCTCCACCTTTCTTATTTAGAAATTATACTTTTTTTTCTAGTTTACGAATACTATATCATTGGCAAAGAACACCATACGATTTCATCTTGACTATGTCCAATAATTTGGTTTCTAACTAATGTACAAGGGCTTACAACTGATCCTTGATGTAAATCTATAGTAAAAAGAAACAGTTTAGTCTCTCTTTCATTTATTCTTACTCAAGTGGTTACTCTATGATAACATACAAAACCTGTTTTCTAATACTATAGAATTAAAATATATATATATATGTAAGGCACATAATTTCCATAAGTTAGGCAGCCATAGTGTTTTTAATGTTTCCATGTTGTTTCTGCCAAAAACAAAACCCCATGTGTTTGGAAACCATGGTGTTTTTGTTAGGCTACAATATCAAAAACAAAAAACACAACACTTATTTCAGAACACCAAAAAGGTGTTTCAAGTTTGGTGTTTGCGTTTTGAGTTTCAATGGTGTTAATATAATGTCAAGCAGTGTATTAATAATATATGTAATATAATATATTCATTACAATAATATAATATAATATAATATAATATAATATAGTATTAAATTGTATTATTTAATATCTTACATTGTAACATTAGTTTCCAAATATATCAATATTATGTTTAATACCATTAATTAGCAAGGTTTTAAATATCGGATGTCGGGTTCATGTCGGATGGCTGAAATCCATATCGGATAGCGAAAATCGGGGATATATCGGGGGATATTGACTAAATATCGGATTGCCATATCGGATAGTACGCATATGTATAATATCATGTCCTAAATGTAATCTAAGCATTCATAAATTTAATATAAGCATACTTTATAAATTCTATAGACTAAACATATAAAAAAGTAAATAATATATGGATTTGGGTTCATAAATTCTTTCTATCGGGTTCATAAGGAATCCTTAAACATGAGAACGAGTCAAACGGGTTTGGGTATTTATTACTAAATCCAAACCCGATAACAAAAAACAGATCTTAAAAAAAAGTACCATATCGGTCGATTTTTCAAAGCTAAAAAATAGGCCGATATGCCCGATATGACCCTGATATTTCCGATTTGGCCCTGCAAACCGACATACGAGTTGAAAACGTCCATGTCGTGTCGGTTATATCGGCCGACATATCGGACATGTCGATCGATATTTAAAACCTTGTTAATTAGTAATACATATAATATTATAATTAATAAAACATAATAATTATATTTCAAATACTATTATATATTATATTAATAGTAAATAATAATAAATTAAATATATAAATAAAAATATAGTAATAAAATAAAGATATATTCTATTTGCTACATAATATAATATAATATAATATAATATTAAATCATATTATTTAAATAAATTACATTATAATATTATATTCCTAATATATCAATACTATGAATTAAATATATTATTAATGTATGAATAATATATTATATAATATATTAAATTTTTTTAACATGTTATGTAATAATAACATTTAATAACAAAATAATAACTCATTTAAGAATAAAAGATTAATTATTAATAATAATTATTAATATTATTCAATATATTCATAATATATTATATAATAAATAATAATATATTACATTATAAAATAATGATAAAATAATTATATATTATAAAGTAAATAACTTATTAATGATGAATTACATGTATTATAACAAAGATTGA